AGTGGCTATACAACAGATTTCTCATATGACTTGGTCCCCCTGCTGTCAACGCTTTAAGGAAAAAAAATCATTCCAGCCAAAGTTAAAAGAAATTATAATTCGCGATTTGTTCTTATTATATATATATTATTATTTTACATTAACGTTTAATTTGGAATATATTTTTCCTGGCTGAAAGTCTTGTGAGATCCGCTTTAAATAATGTCTAAAGGATAATTTAACATATTTGTTGGGTCTAGAAATTTAGGAATTTCTAAATTTCTAGACCCAACAAATGATTAGACAACTGAATCAACATTTGGATTACAAACAAGTAAGTTCCATTTTTCCTTACTAATTATTTAGTCTTGCAACATCTGTCAAATTAACATATGTTTTGACTACTCCCTGTTCTCAGCATGTTTGTATATTTATATATACAAATCTCAACTTAAATATGATTTTATTAATTCTGCTGCTGCTACTTCTCCATTGAACCAAGTAAAATGAAACTGCAGCAGTAATAGTATTGATAATAGTTTATAACCACTGCAATAAAGAGTAATTCCTAACTTAGAAAAGGATATTGACGAATGTTTGTGTCTAATTTAGTTGTGATCCATTGACACAGCTGATGCTGTCGTAAAAGATACGAGATTTGCAGAGAGCTTTGTTGTTTTTCTAGAATTACAGAACATGCTGAGGAGATCGCTAAGCGAGAGAAGGAGATCGAGCTGTGGAAAAGTTGACTAGATGAGATCCAGAGAATCAATAGTGAGTGCAGAGCCAAACTGCTGGAGACCCAGGTGCAGAAATGTCGTCATATCAAAGAGATCGTGCTGCCCGTCGAGGAGCCGACAAAGAAGCTACCGCAGCTGACGGAGGAGCAGGAGGCAAATGTCAGCGCTGCTTTTAGTCGAAGCAATAACATGGACGCAGTGCTCGCGAGCAAGTTTAGCCTCAACATATCACTCATCATGTCATGACGCGGAGGGGAAGGAATTGGCTGAACAACGAAGTGATCAACTTCTACATGAACCTCATCATCCAACGGGGCATAAATGCCAAGTTTCCCAGCGTGTTCGTATTCAACACGTTCTTCTACTCGAAGCTTCTTAAAGACGGCTACTCCTCTGGACGCGAAATGTCGATGTCTTCTCGCACGATCTGATTTGCGTTACCATCCACATGAGAATGCACTGGTGCATGGCCATAATCGATTTCCGGTCAAACTTTATCGGCTATTACGACAGCATGGGTACCACCAATGCACGAATGCTTTGATTACTTATCTGCAGGAGGAGCATCTCGATAAGAAGAAGTGCGGGTTCGACGCATCCGACTGGAAGTTGAGATGCATACGAGACATTCCGCAGCAGATGAACGGTAGCGATTGCAGCATGTTCTCCTGCACCTACGCCGAGTTTCTAAGTTGCAACGCACAGTTGACATTCAGCCAAGAAGACATGTAGTATCTGCGGAGGAAAATGTTCGTATAGATCATGGAGGGGAAGCTATTAATCAATTAATCAATTGCATCCTCTTTAATCTATCCTATCGTCGTCGTTATCGTTGCGTTCAATATTACGTTCATTTTTCTTCTCCGCAACTCTCAAATCGCGTATAGTATTATAATACTATACAATATATAATACTATTTCGACTACTCCTTCTAGTTATTAAATTTGTATATATATTATAAATATATATATATCCTAAATTATGTCTAATAAATTATGTATTACATTGTATATCATCACTGAATTATTCTACTATTACCTGCTGATGTGTACTTTTTTTATATCATTTATTTCTAATTCGCAGCCAATTTTTGGCAATAAGTGGAATGTTTTTTGTCCATAAGACAAAAAAAAAAAGAAAATAAAAACAGAAAAAACAGAATAAAATAGGCGTGGAGTGGAACGATTTCCCATCGGAAACCTGTTGCAGTCTGTTCTGGTAACGGGCACTGAACATGGGGATTTTACTCTTAACGGTGTTCATTTGGAGGTCATTGTGTATCGTGTCGTTCGTGACATACCAGGGGGCTTGTACCAGGAACCGCAGACATTTAGACTGGAATCGTTGTAGGATCTCGATATTGTAATTGCTGGCTTTTGGATGCCGTACGTTCACACCTGCTTCGGCACTGTCTTGTATATCAGTAGATTATTTTCCAGGGATTGCTGTGATCTTCTGCCGATGAGCAAGTACAACCTTGCTAAGTTGATGCCCAGTTGCTTCCTTTTCGTTGCATAGGTGAGTCGGCGATCAAAGAACAAGCCCAAGAGTTTGGCATCGTCGGTCTGCGGGATGATTTTGCTGTTCAATGTGACATGTTCCCGCATGATCGACTCGATCGGGTACACCTGTGTTACCTCACCCTCAACTTTAGTTGGAAAAATCTACCAGACAGAAAAGATCTTAATATGTCGTAATGGTCGTGAGGCAACGTGCTCTTGATTTTGTAGAGCATACTCGCGTGCCACACTTTGTCGAAGGCTTTTGTTATGTCGAGGAATACAGCGGAGCAGTACTGCTTTTCTTCCATGGATCGCTTTATCTCGCTCGCCACGCGATGGATCTGCTGGATGGTGGAGTGATGTCGTCGGAATCCAAACTGATGGTCCGGAATCACCGGCAGCAAGCTGATGGGTCGGTAGGACGTGACCTCCTTTGGATCTTTTCCCGGATTTGGTATGACGACGAGCTCAACGACTTTCCAGTGGGAGGGAAAATAACCCGTTCTCAGCAGGGAATTGAAGATGGTCGTCAACAACACTATGGCCTTTCTGGGTAACTCCTTCATCACCCTTCCAGTTATTAGGTCGTAGCCAGGAGCCCTACTCGGTTTTAGGTTCCCGATAACATCCATCACCTCGAATGGTCGTACGGGTTTTATAGGGAGTGACATCTGGAACGGAGCTTCCAGGAATTCATCGATATCGCCCGATTCATCAACGGTTATCTCGTCCGGAAAGGGTTGGAACACGTTCACAAAATGTGCCATCGGTCTTTCGTATCAGTGGAATCCGGGTCTGTGGTCGCTTAATTTATCTAGTGACTTTCCACAGCGAGTAGTCCGTCACAGGTGTTGCGGACAGATTTTTGACATAGTCCTGGAATTGGTAAAATCCGTATAGAAGCAGTGACCTAAAGCAGAGCGTCGTATCAAAACCATGCTCTACTCCTCAAACTCCCACCCCTTGCTTAGTTAATTTTATACTTACAGAAAGTATTTGTAATTAGTCTTAGGAAGTACGCTAAAGAATCAACTACTGAGTGAAGAACTACAATAAAGCAAACACTTTGAAGAATATTTTAATAATAAACCGAAAGTAATACACATTCAATTTATTATTTACCAAACCTAAGGCTCCACAACAGACAACAGAAGAAGATATCCCAATAAGTAAATTTAAAAGGAAAGAAAAACATTCATGGATCGACAAAACCATCTTAGACCTAATAGCAAAGAGAAACAAAGAATATAATATAATGAAAAAATACCCAGACGATAATAAACAACGTATGTATTAGAAAAAATAAAAAAAAAAGACAGAATATAAAATACAAGAAAGTAAAATACTATGGTGACATATTCAAAAGCAGTGAAAGAAATGTAAGGAAAATATGGCAAGAAATAAATAGGATACTGGGGGGAATAGTGAAAGGTTCGCAGGAAATATCCAGACTGAGATCTAGAGATGACATGCTTACAAGTGGATAGGAGATCGCTAACGAGCTAAACTTCTGCTAATACTTCTGCTCGATTGGAGAAGAGCTCGCAAAAAAAAATCATAGATAGAACTGGGAATAAAGACACAAACATAAACATACCAAATAAATAAGTAAAAACAGTAAACAGTAAAAACGGACAAAACTACTGAAAAATAAATAAATGAGATAATAGAGTCATTGAGTGATGGGTGTGCGCCGGTCAGTGATGGGATGAATACTTCAACAATTAAATATCTAAAACAGGAAATAACGCAAAAATTAGTAGACTTAGAAAATCAAATTCTGAGTTCCGGAAGCTACCCGGACGTAATAAAAATAGCTAAAATAACACTAATTTTTAAAAATAACGAAAAGGGTAGACCGGAGAATTATAGGCTTCGGACATTTGGATCATGCAGGGCGATTCTCAGAGTATCAAGCCATACACTTAGGTTGAACTAGCAGATTATTGTGGCATTTTGAACACCTCGGCACTGCCACCTTTGGTTGAATTGAAATAATTTGGTGAATTGTTAGAATATTTCTATATTTATTTAATTATATTTAATAATTACTAATATTCTGATTCTCCCCTCTCTAGGGTCTCTTCCTGCGACGACCCAGGTACTCAAGATCCTTACTTGAGGAGGCGGATAGATAGCGTCCGAAGCCGTTTGTCAGGGCTGCGATGGGGGTTAGCAACCCCGCGCAATCTGATCAGGCCCGTAAGCTTCTTTGGAACCCGGAAGGATATTTGTCATCCGTCGCGTTCTTCGGGTTGCCCTGAATATATCAGGGTTAGGGATGCAATCATCAGACATGTTAATTATTTGGCGGAAACGGAGGACTAGTTGTGGGATGCGAGAGATGGCTAGGTGTTTTTCTGTTTCGATGTATTCCTCCAGAAAGCATGGGGCCCGGCTCTGCGGCGGGTGGCGGTTTGGGGCTCTGGCCAGCCAAAGTTTAATTGCAACCAGGCGCTACGAGAGAGATCCCTTCAGAAAATCGATCACCATTCATTGGACTGTCCCTATTTACTATCTAGCAAAACTACTGCCAAGGGAATGGGCTTGTATTACATACATTGGCAGCAAAAACTTACGTTTTGTCGAAACAAGCGTGCAGAGTGGGTGGAGGCCGTGGTTCGCGCGTCCTTCTGGTTGCCGGGCTCGTCCGAAGCCCGTTACGTCTCGCAAAAACGCATACACCATGCGGATCAAATAGTGAACTGTGAACATAAGAGTTGCGATCTCTTGCTGCGATTCCTTGAGGTTGTACTTATTTGACCGTATTATGTCAAACAAGCTATTCAGAGATTTGAGTGATTGAGATTTTGTTTACTTTTGGAAACGGCGACGACTATGTCTGACGCCATTGTTTCAAAAACTTTTGTAATCTGTGTTACTTAAAACTTTAAAATGTCTACTTTAGGCTTCCTTATGCACTCTAGTGCCGTGGGTCCTGAGATATGTTATGTTAGGTGAAGTTGTGCTTGGTTTTCTTTTTGGTAATCAGAGTATTTTCATATCCACGGTCTAGGTCAAGTGGCGGTAGGGTTTTTTTTTAACATAGAAACAATTTGGTAATATGGCACTCTAGTACAATAGTAGAAATCTTAAAATATTCACGGATTCACTTCTACAATATTCTCAAACCATTCAAACTAGCTGATTGCTGGTTTGAAAGTTATTTGACCATCTACCACCCACAAGTTTACGGCGACGGCAGTAGTCGGACTCTAGCCGGAGAATGGTGATGACACAACATCCCCCTTGTGTCATCACCATTCCCCTTTGACCGTAACAACTCATTCTCGTTCGAGCGCTTGGAGTGAACGGACGTGTGTTAGCGGTACTGCAAAAGTTTCCTCGGTGCGTCGTGATGTCGCTCTCTATATGATACGGTGTTTGCAGGTCGTAAATTTTCAAAGGAGCTTCGTAACTGTCTCATATAGTCCGCTGCGTCGCTGGGTTCGGGATGTTTACGATAAACCATCTCTGCTGCTGACGCCTCTATATCCTCTCGCGAGGCCGCTCGTATGCCCAGGAAGACTGTTGGAAGTGTCTCCGTCCATCTCGCGTTGTTGTATATGTTCTATTTCTTGTACCTTCATAACTTGGTGCTTTATCTAACTCAAGCATTTTTTATTTTTGTTTACTTTCCCTAATATCTATAACATGTTTATCTTCATACACAATATCTATAATGTATATTAAATAAACTGAAATATGCGGTAGTTAGATCACTTATAGTTGGTCTACAATTTATTCATAACAGCAATTTCCATGACATTTTGTATTTATATATTTTTTATTATTAATCGTAATATATATTTTAATCAAGTAAGCTGAAATTTTGTTAGAATATTTTATAATTTCTTGGTAAAAGTAAATAAAATTATACCATAATCATGACTGAAATTAATACTAAAATTCAAAGTTCGGGTTCTACAACCATAAAAGGTGAACTTGCCTCATTTTTTATGAATTTTAACCCTGAGTCTCCATCTGCTGATTTACCAGATTGCTGACTTACTAGATCCAAGCCTGGTTTTTCCAGACGCCAACTACAAAAAAACGTATACCAAGACCGACAAGATCGGATCGTTATAATACGTACGACACATTCGGGACACCGAAAAGGCCAAGAATTCATATTCAAAAAAAAAAGAATTTTGATGAAACCATTGAAATATTCTGTGCAGAATTTTCCAAAAATTCGTCCATCAAGTTACATAGGCCGAGAGAACTGGTATAGATAATCTCTTTTTATTTTCTTT